CCTACCCCCGGCTCTTCTCCAGGCCCCGCCCCCACTCCACCCCTTCCCCCAAGGCCCCACTCCTTCCCACCCCCGCCCTGCCTCTTCCCACCCCTGCTCCATCTCATTCCACACTCCCCCAAGCAAGCCCCACCCTCGCTCCTCCCCCCCAGTACCTCCTGCATGCCGTGGAACAGCTGATCGCGGCGGGCAGGAGGCGCTGGGAGGGGGGAAAAGGCACTGATTGGCGGGGCCGCCGGCGGGCGGGAGGGGAAGGAGCTGATTGGGGGGGCCGCCAGCCCCGGAGCACCAACAGAGTCGGCGCCTATGCCTGAGAAAGAGAGAGAGAGAGAGAGCAAAGGCAGAGCCCTTTGGGCACAGGACTTGCTGGAAAAGCAGGCTTGGAAATGGTGAGCATGGAAACGGCCTGATATTGTTTTTTTCCTACTGTGTTCAGGGAAACAGGACTTCGTGGACATACGTTGTAAACGAACGAGATTGTGCCAAAGAAACACCTGACTCATATCATCCATTTCTCCTCCTAACAGAAAGAGGCCGGCCCGCCCCTACATACTGGCTAACTGCTTGGGCCGAAAGGGAGCAGTAGTTTGTGGGGAGAGGTTGTGAACATGAACAATTTTAAGGCTGGGAAATTCAGAAGAGCTCAGCTTCTGTATAGGCACTTAAACAATGGTAACACTTTCAGGAGAGCTCATCACCCAGAATGCTTAGCTGCCCTGAGGACTGACCATATATTTCGGTGCCTAGATTGGAACTGAAGTCTCTCTGGAAAAATCTGGCCCCAATTTGGGTGCTAAGAAGAGCTGCCTGGAAAAAGTCCTTTTCCCCATGTGGGATATTTTGATACAAACCAAAAAATGTTAGCTTCCATCCCAGTTTTCTGGGAAAACATTTACTTTTCAGCCAAAAATATCAAGAACCCCAAAACAGAAAAATGTCAGCCCCAAACTGACAAAAACTGAAAAATTTTCATTTTTTGGCTGAAAAGGTTTACTTTTGGGTACTTGGGTGAAAAAATCAAAACCTTGTCAAAGCAAGCAAACATTTTCTGTGAACATTTTCGTTTACTCGAAAACCCAATATTCTGCTGAAATATAGTTTTTACTGGAAACGTCAACCAGCCCTAGAGCAGAACACTTTAAATCTGGCACCCAGCACTTTTACAACTTTGGGCCTTCAAGCCCAAACTCTCGCTCTAAAAGGCAAATAAACACAAAATATTCCAGAATGCACATATATATGGTTAAATATTACACAGCCATATATTCTAAAACAAAATCATTCAAAGTCACTTCCTCCTTCATTTACCTACCAAGACCTATGTTCTGGCTCTCTAGGCCAGGGCTTCTCAAACTGGGGTTCGGGACCCCTCAGGGGGTCGTGAGGTTGTTACATGGGGGGGTCGCGAGCTGCCACCCCAAACCCTGCTTTGTCGCCAGCATTTATAATGGTGTTAAATATATTAAAAAGTGTTTTTAATTTATAAGGGGGGGTCGCACTCAGAGGCTTGCTATGTGAAAGGGGTCACCAGTACAAAAGTTTGAGAACCACTGCTCTAGGCCTATGTCCCCTCCCCTTTCGCTCCCGCCCTCCTTGCTACAGCTGATAAAATTAGTTCATCTAAAGGAGTGTAAGGAAGTCATCTCCCTGCTCTGGTGTGGTCTTAGGCTAGGTCTACACTGGGGGGCGAGGGGGGGGGGATTGATTTAAGATACGCGAATAGCGTAGCTGAATTCAACGTATCCAAGCCGACTTACCCCGCTGCGAGGACGGCGGGAAATCAACCGCCGCGGCTCCCCCGTCGACGGCACTTACTCCTATCTGCGCTGGTGGAGTACGCGCATCGATTCGGGGATCGATTGTCGCGTCCCGACGAGACGCAATAATTCGATCCCCGAGAGATCGATTTCTACCCGCCGATCCAGGCGGGTAGTGAAGACCAGCCCTCAGTCATTACATTAGCTGCTGCAGCAGAGAATCACAGCACCTTGATCTCACATCCGGTGAGACTTAAAAACTAATAATGAGATATGAAATGCCTTCCAGTGCACCTTCAGAAATGCATTTGTGCTTTTCTCTGTCTGCATGTGTATTCTCTTGGAGCCAAATACTGCAGGCACTGCATGTGCAATACCAATGGTCCCGGCCACAGCAAAACTCCCAGGGCGCTAATAATTTCTCTACCAAGACTGAGTCTGGCAAAGTTAAGCAGCTATGGCTGGATGGGAGTAGGTGGGAGAAGAGAACCAGCTATAAAGCCAGGGCATGTCTGAGAGGGAAGCAGGCACTGGCACTAGGAGGACTGTATCTGGGATTGGAGAGGGGCTTCATTAGGCTGCAGAGAAGGAAGGGAAGGGATCAGCAGTGAGCTGGGCGAAGGAGGAGTAGGAGAAGACTGAAGATCTGAACTCGAGTTTACTCTGTAATTCAGTACAGAAAACAGAACGTGGGCTTGGTTTAAGATCAGTCTACCAACATAAGGGCTGACTGCAGGTGGCTTATTTAATAGCAGCTAACTTATTAATCAAGAAGTAAACTTTGTTTCAAAGGCCTCTTGGAGAACAGTGAAGGGGAAGACGACAACAGGGGCTACATTAATGCCCCATTTTACACAGGTGCCGCTGCACTAGCTCACATGGGGCACCTGGGAGAAAGACTTTGGGCTTTGGCATTTGTGCCAGGAGGCTGTGATGTCTGCATCATCACACTGCCCTGGCAACCTCTAGGTGTGCCAAAGAGTCAAGCCCTAAAAATCTTGCAGGGCAGTTTCAAGGCAGAACCTCAGGGAAGTCCCTCCCTCCAGTCGTGGAATGGTCTGTATCGACTGGAATGGCTGGGACTCAACACCAATGCAGTTATATTCTGGAACCTCCTCCTCCACTCCCACATCACACAATTAAACACAGAACCTGTATTTTATTAACCATAAAAAGGAAGTTAAAGGGAGTTATATTAACAATATAAGTAAAATATTGATAATGGTTTTATCCTTTTCACTTAGACCAAAAGAGATTGTATTCTATAGGCTGGTCATTCTCCTCCTTTTCCTTTAAGTAGTGTGACTGTTAGACTTCCATGTACTCTAAAATACCTGCCATGATATATCAACATAAGATAGTATTATCCACAAGTTGCTGGTGCAAACATTCCGTTTAATATCTAAACAGAGGAGGAAGACTGTTTTTATTGGATTCTTCCTCTTCGGATGGAACAGCACTGCCTGGGGCTGTGGTGAAAAATATCGAAGGGCTATGCAGAAAGGTAAGAGAGCTTTCAGGAGTGTAACATGCAAGGAATCTGGTTGCTTTCAGTGAACGACATGGTTTCTCTGCAAGCAAATTCCATGGGGGAAAAAATAATCTACAGCTGGGGGCTGGTAAATTCACTAAAGACTCCAGAACTACACCTGTTTGTAAACAGTCTCTTTGTTCATACAGAGAGGATGATCCCTAAATGGATTTAGGTGTCTCACAGATTTAAAATGCTTCTAATGAATCATTGTTCACTTGGCAGGTGTTTAGCACAGCATCAGATTAATAAGGAGATGATGCTACATTACCTGATTCTGTGAGGACATCTGTTTTCAAAAATCAAAGTTCATTCATCATATGGCGGTTTAATGAATAAAGGTTATAAATGTCTAACATCAATTCAACTATTCCTTCTCTGACAGGGGAAAAAAATGCAGCAGCAAAAAATGATCTGCTTGGCTTGTACATTTTTACACACTTGTTTCTATTTTTCCAAAGGCTGAATTAATCTTTGACTATGACACAGAAGTAAATGCATACGGTCTGACATTTCTGTGATTTGAGTGAGAGCACAAACTGCACTTCTCCCTCTCAACATTAATGCAAACTGACAATGGTATAGGCCTGAAGTCATGTGACTTTAATCAGCACTGCTCTAAGCCATCAGAATCACATTAATTATTTCAGGGCTATCTTTTTGGATGAACAGAGAACTTGCGTTAAAAGCAGGAGATTCTGCTCATCTTCTTAACAAACCTCTTACTGAGCTTTACCGAAAGGTGGACTGTTAGCAGCTGCAGCTGTCGGCACCCGCAACGGACCGTCAGTGAACTTTCACAGTGTCTTATAGTATTGCAAAGACCTCACTCATGTGACTTTCCCAAAGCTATTGGGAAATAAGCCTACCTTCTTCACTACCCCTTCAAATAAATGGAAACTTTCCCCTTGTAAATATCTCATTTCCCGTAAAATATTCATCCCTTTTCCAGGCTCATAAACATCACGCTATTTTTGTTCCACTATACTAGGAGCTGAGCTTTAATGACACTTTAGACCGTAGCTTCTATGCTATTAGCGAACATGTCAACCAGCTAACGGTTCTACAGGGAAACAAGATTAGAAAGGATAGGAAAATATGGATTTTTTTCTTCTCTTGCCTTTTTTTTTTTTTTAATAAAGGATCCCACACCTGCAGTACAATGCTGCTAAAGCCAAGCTAAACAACAAAAGATGCCCTACACAACCATCAAAATATTTCCAGTGCTGGGGCAGCTAGCTGTATCCGCCGGAAACTGTAAATATGCATGATTTGTCTTTCTGTAAATACACATGCTTTAATATTTCATAAAATCATTCAGCAGCTGGTGAATGCGAAAGATCAGGGAGTAAATTCAAAAGGTCGGAGTCTGTGGACACCGCTGATAGGAATTGCTTGCTGGAAAGAAGGTGGAGCGTCCCATCTTTCAAAAAGAAAACAATGGCTTTTGGGGGGATTTAGTGGGGGGAGGTAACGGAGGAGAAGCTCACTCAGCGGGGAAGAGGATCAGTAAACCTCCAGCCTTATTTGCCAACAAGCTCCCTTTCTGTTCTGAATTCTTCTCTCAATTCACCATGCAGCACAAGCTGTGCAAGTCAATCCGTGTTGGAACAGAAAGACAACTTAAAACAATCATCACCCCACATTAAAAAAAAAAAAAAATCAAAACCACCAGCCCCTTCACACAAAACAGTAGGTGAGAAGGTACTTACCGACTTTGGGCTCTTCTTTGGGACTGGCAATCCTGAAAAAGGCAACAAGGAAAAAAGAAACATTAGCATATAAATGTTACTTTCCTTTAAGAAAAAATCCCTAGGTGTATCATCTGAATGTAGCCATCTGCAGAGTTATGTCAGATTTCGCTCTAGCATTGGAGTTACCAGTCTGTTCATATCGAATCAAAGAGGAGAGAGAGAGAGAGATCTGCATTAGCTATGCTGACTTGTGCTGCAGCAGCCTGGAGGCTGGGGAAAGAAATTCACAGACCTCAGCGGCCTGGGAAATTGAACACTTGGACAGAATCTCAAATGCTCCCCTGGATTAAGAGAGACTTAGCTTACAATTAAGCCAAGGATATTTCCTTTTGACGCGATTGGCTTGTCAATTTTATCGGACCAATCAGAACCGCAGAAGAGAAACAGGTTGATTTTTAAAAAAGTGTCTCTCTAGAAATAGATTTTTAAAAGCAAATTTGTATTGGCTTTAGATGAGAGGCTCAGGCTGGCAAAGCAAAACAAAAGCACAAAGAGGGATAATCTTTATCCCTAAAAGGGATCATTTACAAATATGGATGTTACTGACAAAACACACAAGTTTTCTTCAAGTCCACCCTAGATACGTAGCTATAAATATGATCAATTTCAGATTGCTGTAGCTTGAAAATAAAATGCTAAGAATGTCTTGACCCTGATGTGCAGGTAGTGGGCTGAAGTGAAAGGTTTAGGTAGTTCTGGATGACGGGAATTTTTAGGGATGATCAATGATCATGATCAAAATGTAAAGAAAAACAATTTAAAGCACGCAGTAGAAGAGAGAAGGGTGATTTTGCCATTTGAAGCCAGCCCCTTAGTTGGTATGATGAGCTCACAGACATGGGAGATCTCAAGACCGATTTCTGTTGACTTCCTCTATCAGTGGCACAATGGCCAAAGGCAACGAGCTGTAAACTTGTTGGAGATGACCTACGATATAGGAAAGGCTATTCTGAGCAGATAGATCAAAGAGGAAAATAAATTATTTTCAATAAAAAAAAAAGCCTCTCGCCTCAAACCTGTTTCCTTATGTGGCATTCCAGAAAAAATAAATATAAAAACAAAACACAGATTACACTGCACATTTAAGTGCTCAGTAATTCGGACACTCAAAATCTGCTTTCATCTTTAGGATGCGATTTATGTGGCATTTATGCAGCATTATGTTTCCTACTTTATACACTTTGTTTGTGCTAAAAACCATGCTCTTGTCTAACTTTTATACAGGAAGTAAAACAAGTTATGCAACTGAAATATGAATTGTTATAGCAAGAAGCTGATCTTACGGTAATTTGCAAGATATCATCTCTGAATATGGAATGTCCACAATTACAAATGATAAACAGTACCCGCTTACAGCCTGCTGTCAGACTTGTATGTAAATAAGACTGCATAATACCAAATGCTGTAGTTGGATTTTAAATTAATTGTTTTCAACGATTGGGGAGTATTAGTGCTCTAGACATTATCCTGTTTGGTGCATTATCAGCAAATAACTAAGACCCTCTAGGGCAGTGATTGATTGTTGGGTAGTGGAACATCAAAACTGTTTACACTAAACAAATACGATTGCAGCTTTGTTTTTCTGCAGACATTGCCTGCATTCATGTAACACACTCAAAGAATAAAGCGCCAACAGTTTTCATGGCAAGTCACATTTGTAATAGGCAGTTTATCACATATTATATATTTGCATTCTTTGCAAGAGACACCCTTTCTGATTAAATGGATACATCACACACACACACTCCAGAGTTGGCACTATAGCAATCCAGTTGTTCTCCAAAAGTTAAAACTGTAGATGCAACTGAACTGTAGGTTTAAAGTGAACTAGAGATTTAGTTTATTGCACCAGGGTCATTACATTTTAATAAATATGAACTTCTGAACAAACCTCTCCTTCAAAATTTGTCATTAATTTCAGCTGCTACAATCCAAAAAGATCGAAAATGGCTGAAAAATGATGGAAAATACACACAAGGCCATTGTTTGACAGGCCCTCTAAAGGCTCATGAATCTTATTGTGTCACTGCTCTATGCCAATCTTTGTTACAGAGCAAACAATAATTGGCTTTTTACCAAAACAAGCAACTGTACATGTTCAAAACACATCAGTAACTTTTGTTAGGACAAAATCAGGTGATAACTTGCGTTAATACTTTGCTGTGAAAATTTATTTATTTTAAATCAAGACCTAATTTAAAATCCGAGTTCCTGCAGTTGTGGGCCAAACTTGGAGATAATAGACCCCAGTTTCTAATATCCTTTCCTTCAGCTGGGAATGCATACAGTATAGAGCAATAAGACACATCATCTGCACACAGAGACAACTCCTACGGGGGCTGTTACTAGTGAGAACACACTCATTGAGGGGGGGAAACTAATGGCACAAAGTAATGGGCGGCGTAACTTTTAGCCAGTTGCCACTGCTCATCAAATTCAGGATGGTAAGGACCAAAGGTGCTACTGGCTGGTGAGTGGTTTCTGTAAAGCTGGTGATAGTCTCCAACCCCTAGCAGATATACATCTGCCTCTGAAACACACATTGCTACAACTGGCATCTTGGTTGGAAATCAGAGAGGACGAGGACTTAAAAGGCACAAAAAATGAACGACCGGTTTCTCTCTACAGAGGTCATAGCAGGTCATGGTGGAAACCATGCACTGGGGAGGCATGGGAAAGTCTGTACTGCCACTGTCTAGGTACCAGCTCTGTGGTTAAATATAGCAATTTAGGGCAAGACTTTTAAAGGTACTTAGGCCCCTACGGAGATTTTCTAAAGTACACCTCTACCCTGATATAACGCGACCCGATATAACACGAATTCGGATATAACGCGGTAAAGCAGTGCTCTGAGGGGGGCGGGGCTGCGCATTCTGGTGGATCAAAGCAAGTTCGATATAACGCGGTTTCACCTATAATGTGGTAAGATTTTTTTGGCTCTCAAGGACAGCGTTATATCGGGGTAGAGGTGTATCTAGGTGTCTAACTGCCATTGATTTCAAAGCCCACTAGACAACCAAATACCGTTTAAAATCTGTCCCTGGGGCAACAAGGCTGACATCTTTCACACGCACTAAATTCACCTAAAATGTATTTAATTAAAAAAGGCTCAATACACTATCAAAATCTTTTTTTGGGAAAGTGCATTCAAATAGCAAAAGAGGGGCTGTTGCCATCAGTTAGCGGTGGTTAAAACAAAACAGCACACCTGGGACGCACTCTCCATATGACCTAGATAAGTGTTTCTCAACCTTTTTGATACCAGGGACTGGCTTGCTGCCTTCCTAAATTGTGTCAGGGAGATCTCAGGGACCAGTGCCGGTCCACAGCCTGGTCGTTGAGAAACACTGACCAAGAGCCCCTCCAATGGGCAAGAATCCTCAGAGAATACTTACAAATGTGACTCCAATTAAATCACTCAGAAAACACAAATCACTCCCCTGTAAAAAGCCAGTGTAATCAAGCAACTGCTTAATGGCAAAATACCATGATCGCTGCGCAATCTTTAAATACGAAAAGGGATTGTAATCTAAATTCACAGAGTCGCCAAGAACGGGTACATACACGGTTAGTAAAAAACTAACCAAATGCAGGGATCTAAATTAAGCCAGTTATCAGTGAGATTATCACAGTTATCTTAACAAAAAACTCTCATTTTCTTCCCCAGAACTCCCTGAAGCTCTGTGTACAGCTGGCCACATCCATCTGCTAGACTATATTTTGGAACATAGGGAGAAAAATGTAAATTGCTCAGTAAGTTTTGTACCACAATTTCACTATTTCAATGACTTTCTATCTAGAGCAACCTTCCTATGAAATGCTGTGAAGGAGGCATTGTAACTCATGGATTAGACACAGAGTTTTAATTTAATATTTGCTGGTATGTTTATTCTGTTTTAAAACTGCATCATTTTAAATGTCTTTTTGGTATATTTCAAATCTAGAAAGCACTGATAAAAAAAACAGTTATGCGAGCCATACAAAAGCTGGATACACCATGTGAAATCAACCCCAAATTCTGCTGTTTCTAGTATATAAAGTATCCAAATTCCAAACATCCGTGTTTACTGAACATATGCAAAATGCAAGGATTCACACACCGCAGTCTGGCAGGGTTCTAGTGTCCCCTGAAACATAATAGACAATGAGGGCCACTAGAGGGCTCACAAACTATTTAAAGGGACATTATCCAATTCTTGTATATTACTACTCCTGGGGGAATTTTGTGCCACTGTGCATGCGCAGAATTCATGTTCCCCACAGATTTCTTTGTTCCCTTGTAGAAAAATGGCTTTCTGACAGGGAAGCTGCAAGAGCAGTCACGCACCACTCCCTAGCTGCGCGAGTACATTGTTTCAGGCACCCGGAGCAGCCGGTGGAGAGGTAAATCACCGCAGGGCTGGGGACACCCCAGCCAGTGGCTCCTACCCTGAGCTGGCATCAGCTGCTAATCTTGGCTGGGCTGGAGGCAGGAGAGGAAGAGATTTCCTCTTCCCCGACCCACCCCCAGAAATCTCCTCCTATCGCTCCTCAGCTGTGGGCGGAGGGGTCACTGTACAGGAAGCAGCTTCCCCGCCCCCCCAACGTCTGGAGCCTCCTGGCACCCAGACCCCCCCACTAAGCTGCCTGCACCTAGATTGTCCCACACTGATATCCTGTCTGGTTACGCCTGCCTGCCCCACACCTAGTGCTGAGGGAGCAGTCCACGCCATCCTCCAGATCATTAATGAAGATATTGAACAAAACCGGCCCCAGGACCGACCCGTGGGGCACTCCGCTTGATACTGGCTGCCAACTAGACATGGAGCCATTGATCACTACCCGTTGAGCCCGATGATCTAGCCAGCTTTCTATCCACCTTATAGTCCATTCATCCAGTCCATACTTCTTTAACTTGCTGGCAAGAATACTGTGGGAGACCGTATCAAAAGCTTTGCTAAAGTCAAGGAATAACACGTCCACTGCTTTCCCCTCATCCACAGACCCAGTT